GTGGCATGTAGTCATGTTGTTACATGACACTCATGTCATGATTTTTCATGTTAGGGTCTGTCGCTTGTGTGCGCCATGCAATCATGTTATAGCAGTTTTGCAACATGTCATGTGAACAAAACCACCGCAAAACCAGCAAGACCATGAAATGTAAATAATGACATTCATAACATACATGTCATGATTTTAATGTTATGACTAGTCAAATACGTTCGTCATACACTCATGTTATGCCATACCAAGTTTAGTATGGATACCAATAACCAAACAGCCAGGAGAGCTAAAAGTCGTAGGCGGACGGACGGATGGACAGACAGACAGACAGACAGACAGACGGACGGACGGACGGACGGACGGACGGACGGACGGATGGACGGAGAGATAGATAGATAGATAGGTAGATAGATAGATAGATAGATAGATAGATCGCTCAAAGTCGCCGAAGTTCGCTAATAAATGCTTCACATTTAAAAAGCTATGAGAAAGGTGTTCAGGCCCCACGCAAATTCCTCCAATTCTACTGCATGTTCCCTTTAAAGCCAACACCTGAAAGTTAACCAAACAACACATCTGGGTAAATTGGTGTGAATGCACGATGAAAATACAAACGTCCCAACAACAAATGCCATGGATTGGAATCAAAGACAAGAGATGCACTTTTATTTTGTGCGTATGTTCTTCATACTGTCTGGTTTTGATATTGCTTTGTTTGAATTTCGGAATGAAAGCTTCTGAGCAGTGACAAAGATATAATCAGTTGGCTTCACGCAGCAGAGTCACCGGTGACAGTTCTTGGGCGCTCGAACATGACAGGGATGAATGAATAACGTCACGTTTTGTTCCACTCCTTAAACATTGCTCCTGCGCTTTATCAACAGTAATGAACACCTTGACTTCGCTACAACCAAGTTTTATGCAACAGACATGCAAATAAAGTTGTCCTGGTCCGGGTCTTGCCTGCTCATTTGGTAAAGTAATAATAATACTAATGTATAATACCATTATTGGATAATGGGGGACACCGTGGTTCAAAGCTCCGGAAATTTCGATCTCCTGGTGTTCTTTATCGTGCTCTATAACATCGTGCAGTTTTTAATATATAAATTTACATACGTGATGAAGAGGAATCAAAGCATTCTACTCTCCTTAGTATGCGATCACGCAGCAACATCACGCAGTAACATCACGCAGTACGCGGCCTCTAGTGCGTCGCTTCCATTGATATTTCACCGCTGTGGCCGATGTCAAACCCGTGACCTCCAGGTGAGCAACCGAGCACCTCAACTGCTACACCACCATAGAAGATCAATTTGTAAAGCCACCGCCTCGTAAAAGCGTTCGTCCCAGGCTTAGTTCCAAGCCACCTAGAGACTTGCGGCATCTAAGATTTTTTTTTGTTTTGCGGAATTCGTAAATACTTTTTCTTGTGATTTCGTGCTACCATTTCTCGAGCTTAAGGTAACCAGTCCAGCATTTGCTTGGTTAACCTCTCTGCCTTCTCTTTTGTTGTTCATTCCTTACTTCATGCTAAAAGCGAATGAGTGTCAGTTTGCCTTTCTCATGACAGGACTCCCATCTGCGCCGATAAGCTGAAATATATAAACAAACTGTAGATAATATTTGTGCGCGCAACGTCTCTTCTTTGTAGTCTAACCACAGCATAACGTATAGATTTCAAGAGCTGAATGCAGCACTACGTTTCCTCGTGTTTCCCCGTGGTTAGCATTATCTACGCCTACTGGGACGCGCATCTGCCTCGGCTTTGCAGATGCGCATTGCGTTTTCCTTTATTTAGCCTTTCAATCAGTAGTGCCGAGACGCGTGTGCCGGTCAAATGCAAGAATAAAAAGAAAACAATTCGCAGTGCCAGCTGCCCTGCGATAAAATAAAGCGAGAGTGCCTCCATCGTGACAGCAAATACTACGTAAGGATCCTTCGATGCCCCTTGAGCCACGCGCTCCTCACCGATATCAATGCCCTTATCACCAAGAGCGCTGGTGATAGCACCATCGATGGGCGGGCCTCTCTCTTCGAAGTGACCATTCTTTGTTGCTCGTTTCAACAGGCCTGCCTGTGACTAAAAAGTAAGTACCCTCTACATCCACGCAATATTCTACATACCCCTTCATCTTAATACTACGACCGGGGACAATCGATACAGCAGACCATGCAGTTGTTACAAAAAAAAGAAATGTTTTAAAATAGTCTGTAATGTCGGTTGGCTAATAGACCAGTCTGACGACGAATGGAGCAGTATGCTATACTAATTGACGCTGAGGCAGTGTAATGCACCGTACCAATGTTTTTACTCTACTTAATGTTTGTCCTTATTTCATACTAAGGAAAATGGCATGCTTAGATTCCTCTTCGTCACGTATATAAATATCATTAAAAACTGTCTTTCACATAGTCGTAGGACACGTGATGCTAAAAAGTAAACCTGTAAAGCCAGCTATATGTAGAAATAATTACATTTGTGGCAAAACAAAGTCGAAGACCTCAGTGCTTTCTTTTGTTTAGAGGGTGTGCGTCACCCTCTCTTTACGCTATCACAGCACAAACAATGTCCCTTTGTGGGTGAGTTAGGATTTCTCAGCTGATTTTGTTCCGACGTCACTTTCTCCTTAATGTGAGATACTTGTCACTTCCTCGCAAGGGCACCTTACGCAAACGTAGTACGGCGTCGAAAACATGCAGCAAACATTCCGCGCTTCTCATAGTCTGAAGAAGCTCTATCTGGGGACCTGGACATTTATTTGTTTTGTGCTTTGCTTAGTTGAAACCGCTACTGGGGCATATTTTCAGAAAATTTTCTGTTGCAATTACTTTCATTGAGTAGTGTTGCTTTACATAAAATAGGATATAGAACGTCCAATGAACGAACCAACCGCCCTGCCCATCTTGCTTTAACCAGCCAGTCAGCTTCTAGATAACAGCGCAGCAGACGGGACACAAATAAATAACTAGTTGCAACAAACAAACGCCAACCCACAACTAATTTATTCCAAACTTGACCGATGTTGTATAACGCGCAGCAAAGACAACGCGCCCCAGTCAAGGCTCGTCAGCGTACTGAAAACAAACACGCAAACGCAAAAACTGTGAATCAACCAGATTCAGGTGGAAGGCCATGTAAGTCAACAGTAACATGTAGAACGCAGATATGCATACTCCTCGTGTAACAAAGTTAAATACGGCTCACTGACGCACCAAGTTTAATTGCGCCAAGTTTATCTAAGGTTCCGCAAAAGAGAATACAGATTAGAGAAGAAAGTATGGACAATACTAATGCTCTTTTCGTTCGCCTATGCAATTTTAGCACTAGCTTTTCCACAACATAAAGCTACTACAACTCACCAAAATGTTTTCTTTGCTATAGGTCCACCTAATAACTAGATGAATGGACAATTAAATTGTGCGTACACGTTACATTATTACAGACCACTGTGGTAGATGGCACGTATACGTCCATGCATGGACATCATGGTACACAGCTCAGTATAGTCACGCCGGTGAAATGCGGATGCCCTGAAGTCTTTGCCGCTCAAACATCAATGGTGAAATACACTTGGCCATGAAGCTTCATAGGAAATACTTCCCACTTACTGGGCACCACGTCACAGGGACAATCTGACATGTCACGAGGTAATCGTAACCGACTCAGATGTGGAAACTGCTGCCACACAGAAGCATTTCTATGAGACCATCTCTATGGGTGCAGGGATGTCTAATTACATACATGAAGCCTCAAGGTAGATACAAACCATAGTGTAGGCAAAAGGAGTTGGTATGATTGAAGGTGGCAGTCATACACAACATCCGGAGGGACATAGTCGGATTCGGGAAGTGATTTTAAATGAAAAGTAGAGAAAAGTGGGCCCGTAACTGTCTCTCAGGGGGAGGACGCCTCAACAGCAGCTCACTAGGTGGAGGGGGGGGTGAAAGAGGGATTAAAATATTAGGATTAAAAGGTAAAGAGATAGAGATAAAGGAAGCAGAGAGCGGGGCGCAGGGACAGCGAACGACGGAAGTAAGTAGAAGATAGGAAAGATGGACACGATCACAGGAATCCGAGGACGGGACCCATGATCATCCGTACGTCTGTCCCGGCACTTCCTCACCCCTAGGGTCGTGTTATAGGGATGTTTTGTTTTGAGCAGATGGACAAACCCTGGCAAGAGGGCCAGCGCTCGGTGCCAGGCGCCAAACAGACGCGGCCTACCTCCCGGCGCACAAGCCAGGGAGACCCAACAAATGGACTATCCCTCGGCGCAGCAACTTAGGTCACGAACAAAAAGCGAGCGTAACTTGGCAAGGTGGGCTAGTCTTATCTCCATCGAGGCAGACTAGACGGGGAAGCAATGCGAGGTGGCTGGCGCGTATGCGAGAGTGATGACAACGACCGCCCTCTTTTGTGGGGGAAAGGGATTTTAAATGAAAAGAAGAGAAAAGTGAGCAAGATAGCAAGTTGGGCCAGTTAAATTACGTTCTTAATTGAAAACTATGGGGCACCACTCGGCGAGAGTTCTTGTTGGCGTCAGGAGATGGCGTAAGGCGAGCCCAGTCGGCCAGAACTGCGCTGTCGTCGGAGATCGCGAGGGCACAACCGGTCGGCACGAAATCCAGCGAGTGAGACCGTCGAATTCGGGAAAACTATCAAACGTTCGAACAATGGTGTTTGGAACCGATCAGAGGGCCTGCGATAATTTGCTGGCCAATGTGAGCTGAAACGACAGCGAATTCGAAAAAAAAGGCTTGTTGCACTAGGTCCAGGTAAGTATCTTCAAAGTGTGCGTCGCAGCATGACACTATATACCCACCTTTTTTATATTGGGATAACATGATTTTGAAAAGAACTATGTAAAGTTAGAGCACCTTTTTTTGCTTTTTATGGCTCATGTGTGTGCGAAGCCGTTCTTATATATGCCTAATCTTCCTTTTCTTGTGAAATTTAATCTCCTCAGACTGAGCTCAGCCTGTGCTTAAATCAAACGTTACCATGACGGCACACTTCATGTTCATCGGAGCTATGGCCTGTCTGGCTTGGGCGAATGTCCGCGCCCAGACAAACCGGCCAAACATGGTGTTCTTCCTCACCGACGACCTGGACTTGGAGCTGGGCAGCATGATGGTGAGAACTGAGAGTTTTGTGTTTGCAGCAGCTCACAACCGATGCAGAAAAATGACGCAGACAAACTATATTGAGTTCACCTGTTAACGGAAAAGGAACATGCTGGCTACACGTAACAGCAGAAAAAAAAGGTGATGCATTTTATGACAACAGGAAATTTTTGTATTTGAGTAAGTGCCTAACTATGATGCGCCATCGGCAAAAATCTCCAAGGTGCCTCCAATCTTGTGATACTACTGCATCTCTCGTATTTCGTGAAAGGCTACCTGGCCCAAAAAGTCTTTATTGATTGAGCATGCTTGCAACATTTTCGTACTGTAGACAACCACACACAAAATAAAAAAGTATGTATATGTGCCCGTGTCACTCCCTCCCGCTCCTAAGTGGAACATTTTGCTCAGATTGGCGTCTATGAGTCTGTCTGACGGAACCAAATATTTCGGAGGTTTTACATGCCAAAACCGTGATATGATTATGAGTTACGTCTTATTAATTATTAGTACATCTTATTCGTGGTATTGCCAAAATACAAATGCAACTTTAGATATCTTTTTACGTGAATTTGAACTACCGAGAAGAGTAGCTTGGGCTTGTTGGCACGTAACGTGATGAAAATAGCACACACTTAGACGGCGTCGGATTAAGTAAGGCGACACACGAATGTCGTGCTGCTTTTTCTGCCTCTGCTTATGTGTGCGCTATCCCACTCACACTGAACTACCAAACGATGTGAATATGGGGTAGGAATAACTCACCAGCACTGACCCGCATGTTCAGTTGGCACAACTGGGTCACATTAGGCAGGCGGCATAAACCATGAAGCCTTGGACTAGAGGCCCTGCTTGTTAAACTTGTAAAGTTTAACATTATTTACCAAACGTTCATTTTAATAAGGTTATGCTTTTGCTCACAAAACGAAGAGCTCTGGTCTCCCAAACGTCAAGAAAAGCATAATCAGGCCAAAATCCCTGACTGTTTAGAAAAATTTTATTTACATTATGTGCAAAAAACAGCAAAATTATGACATTCCAGTAATGAGGGGCACACACACACACGTTGTACATGACTGTGTTGTAGTAAACACTTATTTACTCTACTATACGTGGTAAATGTGGCATGTATTTACAAAGAAACTTGGTTGTCAGTGTATAGAAAGAATGGAAAGCAATTAAGAGTACTAGATACTTTGCTATGGGAGAGCATAAAGCCGTCCCGTGGGCTTCTCACTTGACGAGGCCCTGTCCGACGATGCATGAAAGCAGATGCTCATTGTCAGTGCTCAGCAGTCAGTTACGAAAGAAATGGAGCAACCACCTTGTCTTTGCGAAAGCAAACCTTACTGTACGCCCTATAGAGTGTACAGAAAGGCTTCATTTTTGTATGTAAACTAAGAACTGAGTCTTTCATCAGTATTTATCTCATTTAGACGTTAAGTGGTTTCTTTTATTTCTTTATTCCTAATGATATGCAGCACGAGGCGTTGTTTCTCTAGCTTTGTATTTACAAGTGGGATTAAGGGTTACGTTCATTGAGAAACTACTTGAAGAATTACTAGTTAAAGGCGTATTTTACCTACCCCTTTTGTTCGAGAGGACCACACCCATTTGTAGGTATAGTCAGCGATGCCCTGTCGAAATGCTCTAACAAACCCAGTTTTATGCGAAGGGCCTAGGGGACGCACATTGACATTCTTTGGTCTGAACTACATTTATTGAAGGATGAAAGCGCTCTGCTGCAGCTACTTCAGAGAGGTATATATGGTTTCATTTTATTCTTGTTTCACAAGCGATGCAAATGTGGGCAGGTTGTGCCTAGCCGTACACCACCGTATTTTTTGCTTTCTACCACAGCATCAATCGGAGCAACATAAGAACGCATTTTTCTCCCTATACCCACAGAAACCTCTTGTGAGGACGCGCCAGCTCATTGGAGATGGTGGAGTGACTTTCGCAAACGCGGTGAGTGACGATTTTGAGGGGCCTCGTGAGCAATGGTCGGTATTCCTTTACTAAAGTGAAACATTCCTTAGAAAGCAACTGCAGGTTGCACAAAGTTAAGCACCCTATGTGTCAGTGCGAAAAATGTATATGTTTCGTCCTAAAACTTGCAGTATGATCTCTAGCGAAGTAGAGATGAACATATTGTGACATGAAAGTTGAAACATACGTATATACTACATCAATGCGTTTAAAAAAGGCATGGCCAGTGTGGAGTCTACTGAAGTTATTCGCATATTACAAGTACTGGCAGAAGGCTTCTAGTTGCTATTGATTATCGGCTCATATGGAAATGTATCGATATTTCCATGACCCATTTAATTACAGTAGTATCAATGCAGTATTGATCTAATCGGAAGATGTGCACTGTTAACGCCATAAACTGGTTCGTTACATTGAATGTTTACCATGCTACAATTTATGGCAGCATGCAGACATCGATGACTTTGCGGAGAAAGATTACTGACGAATACAAGAGCTTTTCTAACCAATAAATTGCTCTTGAATTGTTCGTTTGAAAGAATTCTAGCCAATCAGGCTATCAGGCATACCACGGACTGCTGACCGCCGGCTACAGGCACTTGCAAGTTAAAGACTTTTTGAACTAATACACAGCGTCTGCTTCTGATATTGGACGCAGTACGTGACGACGCCCCTGTGCTGCCCAAGCCGCTCTAGCATCCTGACGGGTCGGTACGTGCACAACGTTGGAGTCTTCAACAACTCGCTGTCCGGAGGATGCAGCTCGCAGCACTGGCAGCGCGGACCCGAGCGGTGCTCGTTCGCTGTGGACTTACAGAAGGCTGGATACGAGACCTTCTATGCGGGGAAATATCTCAACCGGGTGAGGCTAGTGAGTTCAAATGAACTGAAGTTAAGGCAAGGGTGTGAGGGCAGGGTTGCTTTTGATCAAACCGGCTCAATTTTTTATATAGTGAAAAAATATCATTTTACAACGACCTATAACTTTACCGCCGTCACTCAAGCATTCATTGTTAAATTTTTACGGAATCGTAGATGTCGTGTTGAATAGTTTGACTCTTGATTTATTGTTGCTATGTCAACTGGCAGCACATGGTGACTCAGAGGATAAACAAGAATGGAGAATGTTCCTTCAGTGGTTTTAAATTGGCTCGCTCGCTCTATTGTCGCCTCGAAAGCTTAAATGCAATTTCTGTTTTTCACTGCATTTGCAGATTATAGAGCTACCAGTCTGCGTTAACAGTCCTACTTTTTGTCAAAAAACAATGAACCTGGGAAAAGTGACTTACTTGAGACGTGTGCACTAACAATCATATTGAAGTTGTTAATGTATATATCGCATTGATTCACTTTATATTTTCTAAGCAATTCAAAATCAATAACAACCAATAATCAAGTCAAGGAAAGCTTAGCGGGCGTTGTTAGTAATTATGACAGAAATGGGAATAAATCAAAGTGGTCTATAAATGACTTGCCTCCGGCAGGGGCTTAAACCGCAACCTTTGTATGACGCGTCCGATGCTCTACCAATTCAGCTATAAAGGTGGTCATCCTCCCGTGCACTTTATTCGGTATTGTTGCGGATCTCTGTGCTGTTCACCAGTAGTCGCTTCGAATCCGAGCTCTGATCACGGGTTGTTGCAGACCGGGGTCTACCCGACGCTTCTCCGCTTACGTGGGTTGCCGGAACATCAGGGATACGTCGGACCCGGCTACTTGGGGTAGCGTGGTGTTACTTCGAGTGGAGGAAGCGAACGTTGACAAGATGGGAGTACGAAAAACAAACAGGTTTATGGCACTATTTATTCTTATTTACAAAATAGAGATGTTGAGAGTTTCATGAACCACGAGCGTGGTGGCTGAATCCTTACATGGTTCAGAGCAACGTCCAGCAATCTGCGGCGTCGTTATGAACCCTGTCGGGCTCCTCCTTCTTGATTTGAACGCCAATCACACGCACAAGACACCGCCCACAGGGCATCAGTCAGTAACACATGGTCCGCCGAATAGTTATTGCACCTATTGACGCAATGCTCTGTAGAGAAGGGTAACGGGTTTTTTTTCCCGGAACAACTTGGCGGTTGGGTTGCTTCTTCCACCTTTCCCAGGAAGGGCAGCCAAGGAGTGGATACTTCAATCGCGTACACACGACCTGCGCGGTCAGTCTGCTTCGCCGTCTCGCTAAACAATCCGGCCCGGAGGAATTGCTTGTAGGAACATTGGCTCCCGGACTGTCTTCTAATCCTTCTGTTGCTCCCCGCCGTTAGACGCTGGTTCCTAGAGAACTGGGATTCTGGGCGTGGGAGCGCAGCCCGGCTTCGTTTCTCAGCAATAGCATGGCGCCTACTGACGCGGGTCACAACAGCTTCGCCCTCGCCAGATGAGTCATGGAGGGCAGCAGTCACCGCTGCAGCTCGAAGGGACGACGAAAGGGTCCATAGTTGAATGCCAGGAACTCGCCTTCGCTTGTAGCATTGTCTGAGTAATTGCCGAAAACTTGGACAGCGTCTCTGAAACTCGATCACATGCACAAGCAAGCACTCGGCCCCCTTCAAACAAACCAAGCCAAAAGAGGGATGGCAAACCAATTTTCATTTAACCAAAAGCTTACACTCAAAACTATCATGACTCACTTGCACTGCGAAACCACACGTGCTACCTTACTCATTACAAATAATAGGTTGCACGAAAAAAAAACTAAAATATCAATTTCGATACACCAACAGCACTCTTAGATAGCTTAAAAAGAGTGGCTGAGCGCGTCAGCGTTTCCAATCAATTTGTCTTTCTTATACCTAATGTCAAAAGGATATTTTTGAAGAATCAAGCTCCACCTCACAACACGACTGTTCTTCGATGCCACAGTTTGCAGCCACGTAAGGGGACAAAGGTCTGTCACGACTATAAATTTAGCTCTCCTGAGATAACACTGCCATTGATGAATGCCCTATACAAGGCAAGCGCACTCTTTTCCTGAAGTGCAGTACGTCATCTCTCGAAAACCTAATTTCTGGCTCAAGTAGAGCGCATCATACTCGTTGTCACTGTTGTCCTGGCAGTACGGCACCTAGGCCTCGATCTCTCACATTGTACCGGACCGTGAATTCTCGATCGTAAACAGAAGCTCTCAAAACCACAGGACGATAAGTATTGCCTCTCCTGCCTACTCCATTTCATCACTGACTACTTTCATCAGTTGTGTCTCGGGGAGAGCATCGGTCAAGTACGCGAACGCCGAATAAACTTGGATTCAGCGAGCGCTACACTTGTCCTAACGTCTGTCTTTGTCTACAGCTGCCAATAACCGTCTACTACTGAGACGTTAAGCTACCTAGCTTTTCTGAAACTTTGGCCAATGCTGTGGCCAAAATATTCTTCGTTTGCTGAATATTAGAAAAAAGATTACTGTTCCGCTCATATGATCGCTTAATTAATCACTCTTCAAGTAAAGCAACACAACATTAGAAACAAACGCTGCCTTCTAGCAGGTTCAGTGGGTTAAACTTACCTGCCTATGCCAACGCCTTCGATTTAAAAAACAAACAAACCACTGAGCTCTCCTGAGCGTTTTCACTTAATATCATTCCTACAGCGCTGCAAAACGCACGGCGCTACTAAGCAAAAGCTTAAGCTTTCACAGTTCGTCTAACATCCTTACATTACGTTGCAACACCCCATGTACAACACAAAAATAATCCTAGACAAAATCGGGAACTCTCGCTGAAGCTCGGGCTTGTCCAATCAAAGTATATGTGCTTTGCGAGCCTCTTCGAGTCCACCTTCGCCTGTTGACTCGACACAGGCAACCTCCCCTATCAGCGCTCCCTGGCAGCCACCGAGACTGCAGTTATTCAAGAGCTATATCGCGGCTCGAGAACATCATACCGCCAAGATTTTCTCCCCCACGTGTTCCTGAGACACCTCCGCGGCTACTGCCTAGACCACTTGTCATACTTCAGATTCCTGGGATTATGAATAGTCCCTTGTATCATCGATTGGCCTAAAGCAACTTACACTGCTGCACATTTATACTATGTACGACGGTGTGGCGCACGTATATACTGATGGATCTGCCACGTCACGTACCTCCGCCGCAGCCTTTGTCATCCCGCAGAAGAAGATAGCTCGACGTTTCAAGATAGATCACAAGACCACATCAACAGCCGCGGAACTTGTTGCTATTCGGGAGGCAATACGTTTCATGTCGACAGAACCCGCTCGTAAATGGACAATACTGTGCAATGCCAAATCTGCTCTTCAAACCATCGATGGCTTCATGAGACAAGGTCCATATCATACTTTATCGATTGAAACTGCAGAGCTTCTTGGCATTGCTACAAAAAAATGGACATCATCCAACATTTCAATGAATACCTGCTCATTGTGGCATAATGCGCAAAGAAGAGGTGGACGCTGAAGCTAAGAGAGCTTTAAATAGTGCCCCCGAAGTGTGCATCGCATTTTCTCGACAAGATACTAACATCCTACTTCGACGCGTAATGCGCAACTCCATCTTAGAGCCCTGGCAGAAACCAGAACACCAGCACAAGCGGCTGCACAAATGGGACCCGGAAATTAAGTTCCGTATGCCTCAAAAGTTAAGGCGAAGCATCTGATGCATTATCCACCGCATTCGCCTCGGTGTGGCTTACACGAGACATTACACCCACTTGATTGGTTGTGATGACACAGGTCCCAATTGCGGTGACTGTCGGTTGCCAGAAACACTCGAACATATATTTTGCGACTGTCCAGCATATGCAAGTGAACGTCAGCAACTGATATCTTCGATTGGCCGATATATTAGTCGACTATTAACCGATGAGGTTGTGTTAGGTCCTTGGCCTGACGCCAGAAGTACACATGTGGTTATACGAGCCGTCATCGCTTGCTTAGAAGCCACTGGACTGGATGCACGTCTGTAGAGATACCAAGCCAAATACTAACATATCATCTCTCTACCTTACCATCGTCATTCATCAATCTTTCACTCCCCAGTCACCCTTTCCTAATGTAGAGTACTAGGCCAGAGCAAACTATAACTCAGGCCGACCGCTCTACCTCTGTGTAAATAAAACCTCTCTCTCTCTCTCTCTCTCTCTCTCTCTCTAGAAAAAATCACCTCAAAAGCACTTCAGAACAATCGCACAGGTTTTATGCTAAAACCATGCACTAGATGTCTTTCAATTCTTATAGCGCGTAACGACAACTCCACGGTGTCATGCCAAGCTTAATAATTTTGCGAAATAATTAGGTCTATGTTAACATATTCCTCCGTAAAATGCTCATTCACGCCACATCCCTATGACAGTGAAGGCATATGACATTACACTAAACCTATAAAACACTATAAAAATAACACATTTTTTCAATCTTTTACCTTCTGCACAATTGCGCACTAGTTTATTAATAACATCGATGCTAATTTTCAGCTTTTGGTTTGGGAGTTTTCCTTCTAAAAAATTTACTCCGCATTACGTAACTTACAAAACTAAAAGGGTTCAAATATGCAAATCCGATGCAACACTCAGTAACCATATTTAACACGCCTGTGCAAAAGTCACTTAAACTGACCGTTTCCCCTTTCTCAACTAGGTTCTTTTGAATCCGATGGGGTCGTGGTCGCCGCAGTTTTCGAGCACGCCAGAAGCTACAAAGTACACACACTCTAAGCAGTGCACTGCCGCCACACCTCATTTTACACTTTGGCCTGTTCCCATCGGGAATTTGAAAGGGACGCCAGAAACAGGGAAAAAAAAGGGGCCATTGCCCATTTGTGTTCGCCCTGATGCGGTTTTTTAGCTATTGTGATCTTTCGACGTCGACCCTTCGAACAAGGTCACCTTCCTGAAGTTGTCGAAC